GAGAGAGAGAGAGAGAGAGAGAGAGAGAGAGAGAGAGAGAGAGAGAGTCCAAGAGATTCCAGGTTCTTGATTATTGCCATAAACATGGACTCTGGTATGCAAGGTGTAGAAATCTTGACGGCAATTTTTCTAAGAGAGTTTTTGCCATTAATGCAGATTTTTAACGACTTTAATTACTTGGCGTTCTTGACATTGGGGTTCATGCAATGTCGTATCTTCCTATGTTCCTATAGGGAAACCTTACGTAAGCTCGAAGTTCTTGATTCATTTTTTGGAAGCAATTTGTGCGATGCTTTAAGCTCACGGTCTTCCAAAATATATGAAAGGTCCTTACGCATCTTGTGAGAGCCTCGTAGTAGTGAAAAATTTATCATTAAACGAATTTCTAAAATCGTCAAGACGCTGTAACAATATGAAGACATTGAAAAATATTTTCGGTAATCAGCTTGCAGTCGGAAAGGTTTAACATAAAAGTTATCTCATTTGGACCAGTAACATCCGCAATTTATAAAAAAAAATTTCCTTAAGGTGATGTGCATCCAAATGTTCACCTCAAGGCGTGCATAATTTTCTTACTTGTTCTTACTATTCCTCATAAATATCAACTAACACACACACACAAGAATACACTCACTCATACTCAAACTCGTATGCCTAGGTACTCGTATGCAGAATAAAGATAAACGGCTCGGCATAAATGTTAGCATATCAATTACCAGACATTTGAAATGCAATTAAATTGCAATGTAATGCAAAACGTAACAAGCATTTAAATAATGGGCACGAAAAATACAAAAGATAAAAAATAAGTGAGAGAGAAAGAGTGAGCGAGTAAATGTGCGGTCGAGAGGGGAAGAGGGGAATAATGCCTGCAATTTTATTATGGGAGTATAAAAAATTTGCAAAAACACGATCATAAAACCATAACGTGCATAGAGTTAGAAAATACAAATTAAATAAACTAACTGGACAAAGACAAATGAAATGAATGAATGCGGTAAGGTGAGGCGAGATGAGGTGAGGTGAGGTGAGGCGAGATGAGGTGAGGTGAGGTGAGGTGAGGTGAGGTGAGGTGAGGTGAGGTGTGGTGTGGTGTGGTGAGGTGAGGTGAGGTGAGGTGAGACGTGGCGAAGTAAAGAGGGAGGGTTTAAGCGGACGTATGGACAGAAAGATAGATAGATAGACAAACGGACAAACATAAGGTTGGCTGGAAACGTGTAAACACCACATGACATCGAACACGCGCGTGCGCGCGTGCATAGATGTATGTACCTGGGATATATGTATATTTTTATATAGATAAATATGTGCATGCGTCTGCGTCAGAGTAAAGTATTTTAAATATTGTTTAAGCGAAACTGTTTGTTTTATCTGCTTTCGTGTAACCGTACTTACACACATGCATAAATATATTATAAATAAACATTTACATACCGGTGTAAAGATATCTATATATATGTGAGTAATTTGAAGTGATTAAATTACAATTTTCCTGGTTTTTGTGAAAATTAATTTCATTATTATTTTACTTTTTTTCTTTTTTGTTTTTTTTTTTTTTGTTGCTATTCTTTGTTTTTGTTTATTCAGTTAACAACAAAATAATAATGCGTTATATGTCTGTTATTGTTTTTGTATCATTTTAGCAGCGTAAGCTGTCACCGACATGGGCAGTGAGCACTACTGCTTGAGGTGGAACAATCATCAATCCAACCTGTTAGGGGTGTTTAGTCAATTACTACAGGACGGGAGTCTGGTGGACGTCACATTAGCTTGTTCAGAGGGCGCTCCCATCAGAGCCCATAAGGTAAGTTTGGCGCTTTTTCTTAAAATTTTTCCAAAATTTTCAAAATCACGTAAATATATGTAAACATGAGCATTTATTGTACATATATTTCAATAGCTTTATTTATTTACTGGCCAACCTTTATTCATATGAAAATAAACTTTGGAATTTATTTAATTATTTTGACGGCAAAAAATTTGTCTAAACCTCATTCCACCTAAGCGGGAGTATTGAAAATTCGCCCAAGTTTCACATAGTCTTTCTTTCGTTCTTTCTCTCTCTCTCTCTCTCTCTCTTCCTAAGTTTTTTTTGCCATTATTTTCTATAGCCTTTTTTACTAAGATTTAGTTATTTTCTCTGGATCATTAAGAAATGGTTTCATGTTATTTATCGTTCTCGCTATCGAAGTTAGATAGCGTTTTAATACATACGCATTATATATGGTTGCACGTAATTTAGTTTCAAGTTGACAGTGAACGCAAAATGCGCATGGTCGCTGTTAACTGCTAGTTGGTCTTCTCAACTAGTAAATTGATCAATTATATGTTAAGCAGTTAAGTAGTTAAAGCATAGCTAATAACTTTGCAGATTGCTTTGATCGGAAATTTTTTCTTTTTCTTTGTTTTTCTTTGCTGACGACAATCAATAAACCAGAAAAATTGTATTATAGAAAGAAAGAATTGGCTTAGGGAAAGCATTGATAAGATAGTTATAAAAACCGTTGGTCAAGGTGAACCAGTAATCCTTGCTACACGGACATGAACTATCTGGTATTTCAGTTGATTTCCGGGACTTGCAGCGGAAAGCAAAAATCAGACTATAGCGAGCCTTTAAAATACTTTTAGGTAAAAGCTTGTAAAGCTGGTTGAGAATATCACTGTATAGGCTGACGGAAGAAATCGATGAACGTATAACTGAAGAAAATGAAAGGGCATGGATGACGGCAAACGAACATATAGATGGGCGATTTGTCAAGAGGGAGAAAGGAGAGAGAGAGAGATAGATATATATATATATAGAGAGAGAGAGAAACAGACAAATAAACGACACTTTGGGCGAATAAAAAGGGCATGGATTATCGGAGGGCAGTCGTGTTGATGGCTAAGGATAGCGTACGAAAAGCGTACGTGTAAACGGACGAAGGACAGATGGATAAATTAATGCAACAGGTATTCCCAAGAAAAGGAAGATAGTAGAAGAATGTGAAAACGACAAACGGACTAACACGTAGTAAATATGTAAATATGTGGCCGCGTGAATGAGATCGCCAGATGAGTGAATAGAAGGAACAGAAGCGAATATATGCACGAGTAAATGACAAACAGATGCAACAATCAAGAAGGGAACGAATAAACCTACGAATGAACGGAGAAATCAATTAACCCATCTTTTGAACGCAAACAAAGAACAAGTTTTATCTAAAGATCTATAAGAGATTATTGGAATGCATAGATGCATAATTTCCTAATCTCATTTTGTATACATATATACATAGATATATATATATATACATAGATATATATATATATACATATATATATATATGTATATATGTATATATATATATATATATATATTAATAGTTATTAATTATATTTTTAATTTACTTATAAATAATTAATTTTATACTTAAAATGGACTAACGATGACAAGTAATTGTCGTTAAAATGAAAATAAGAGAGAAAAAAAAAAAGAATGAAAAAAGATTGATTTCTTGTTTCCATTCTCCCACCCATCCTTGCTTGCCCTGCACAAAAATGTCAATTTTATATTCACTTTTGTGTGCATTTTTTTTTTTTTTTTTTTTTTTTTTTTCGTAACATATAACGACAACAATTACAATAATAATAACCAGAAAAATTAACAATTAAATTTTTATAGATAAAATTAATTATTTGCCATAAAAATTTAGACATTTCATTATGAAATCTGTCATAAACATGTTGCACAACATGAACAAATTATGCCACACAGCAGCAGATAGACAGATAGACATAGACCAACAAATTTTCTATTGAAAAACAACGTACAGTTGTTTTTGTATGCATGAGCATGCAACATAATTAATCAAAAGGTCATTGTGTGTTTTGTTGTTTTGCGTTATTTTCCAAACACAAACAAACAATAAATGACTGGTGGTGTGGCGTTGTGTATAAGCCAATGAACGGATATATGCGTTTATTACGCTGGAGCATGTGTTGTACAATTGCGAAATTTTGCAAACCAGCAAAGAAACAAAGAAAACTAAAACCGAAAAGATCAAAACAAGCAAAAAAAAAAAAAAAAAAAAAAAAAAACTAATAGAAAAAAATAGAAAAATCGCAAAACACCATAATTGTGTCAAATTGCCGCCAAAAATTTTTCATTAATATCCGACTGATTTTTCTCAAACAAAATAAATGGTATCCAACTACAGTTCCGTTTACGTTAAAAAGCCAATGCTGACTAACATTATGTATACATTGTATAAGTTAATTGTACGTTTTTGCTATTTATTAGTACATTTTGCTTATTTGTTTCTCCGTTAAGCGTTTGGGTGATTTTCTCCTTTATTTATTTATTTATTTTTTTTTGTTTGCTATTTTTTACTTTAACAAAATCAATAATTTTTACTGAATATGCACCTACAATCGAACACAACACAGCCACAACAACCATCACCAAAATTGCCTAAAATCAAAAAGAAAAAAAAAATATATATATATAAAAATAAAAATAAAAATAAAAATAAATAAATAAACAAATAAACCAAAAAAAAAAAAAAAAAAATTAAAAACCACTTAATAATACTTCGAATATTTATTAGCATAACATGGCATAGATACTAACAACAACAAAAAAAAAACATTCTTTTATTATTGTTTTATTTAAATCTTTTTGGTAAAACACTAACTCTTGACGTTTTAACCTTATGAGTGAGCTAAGCGCGATGTGTAAGCTTTTCAGTTAATTTCTAAAGCAGAACACTTTGCAACAATAAGCTGAAAAAAAATTGAAATTAACAACAATCAATTGGCCGCTAACGCATATAACGTTGGCTGGTAAACAATACAACAGTTTTTCCCTTTATGCATAAATATGTTTCTTTGTGTTTAAGTATGCATATATATATATATATATATATATATATATATATGCATATTGTAGTATGAAAAAGCAAAGCACGCGTGCCACTCCCACTAAAAGCGGCAGCACCCAGAAAATGGAAAAAAGAAAGAAAGAAAAAAAAAAAAACAACTCAAAGCCAATTCAAAAAGATTCTGTTTATGAAAATCTAAGCTTTACACACACATTCATGCAAACAATATTAAAAAGCGAGACACATGTGCGCTTATGCACATTCACGCATACAAATGTATATTTATGATTTGTTAAACCGATGGAAGATAATATTCGCATATTGTGTTGTTGGTCTTATTGTTTTTGTTATTGCTTTTTTTTTTGTTTTGTTATTATTATTGTTGTTGCATTTAGAGTGCTTGCCTGCCTGCCTGCTTGCCTGCCTGCCTGCCTGCTTGCCTGCTCTCTTGCCAACTTGTTAACATAAATTTGCAATTAGAGTTTTGCCACAATAACAATAACAGAAACGAATATAACAAAAACAACAAAAAACAACAACAATAATAACAATATAGTTCAAATTGTTGCAAATTTACAATACGGTATGAGCTCAAATGCTTGAAGATCTATGATTATAATGGTTATTGGTTACAAGTTGCTGTTGCTGTTGCTATTGCTATAGTTGCTGTTGATTTTCTTTTGGTTTTTTTTTTTCTATCTCTCTCTCTCTCTCTCTCTCTCTCTCTCTCTCTCTGTTTTAATTTTTTTTTTTTTTTTTTTTTTTGCCTAGCGAGTTATTATTATTACAACCATTATTATTATACGTTTATTTTATAAACATTTACATATCATTCAGGACGTATTCACAATCGAATACGTTTGTAACATAAACATACGTCGTATGGTTTCTTTTTTTCTAAGATCGCACAATTCTCATATGTTTCTCTTTAACGTTACATACCCATTGCATACGCATGTGTGTAATTGCTTTTATTCTATTGTCTCATCTACTGTTTCATATCACAGTATAGTATATGTGTTCTTAACGTTGGCAAATTATTTAAAAAAAAAAAAAAATTTGCCGTCACCGCATTTTTACATGCTTTAGCGATACTCTGCAGTCGTTATAATCTTTAAGATAAGTGACCAACTAATCATTTGAAAAAATTCCATCCATTACTTACACATTCGTAATGTTCCCACACAATTAAGAGGGGGACAGGTAAAAAGTGAAAGGAGCATAACAAACACCATGGGGATGGGGTGCGTATGAAAACGGAACTCTCTCTTCCCTTTCAATGGCATCATTGTTTTCCCATTTGGACGATTCACATTGCGTTATGTGATTTCAAACGCATTGTCTATTCTACAATCTAATCAAATTATTGAGGATAGCTTCCTGGAACTAATTTATTGAGAATCTTTGCAATTGCTTGAATTTAATTTCAAATGTCTTTCTTATATGAAACACGAAACACGAAACACGAAAAACATTTCATCATTGCTAGTGTTCATATGAATTTAATTAATCAATGGCATTTAGTGTTCTCTACCTGCTTTTTACTCCGTACAATGTTGCTCAAATAAAGTTGGGTAATACGAGAAGCGTAAGGACTTATCCCTCCTGGAAAGACGCATCGAAGATCTCCTTAAGTGTTCAGTAATCAATTTTTTTTCTTTTTTTTTTTAAACTGGCTCATATATATATTTTTATATTTTCATCAGAAGTAGATTTTCACTATCAATATAATGCAAATCAAATTTACTTGTGAAAAAGAAAAAGCAATCAAACATCTTGATTTTGAAATGAATAAACTCGCGTCACTTTCAATTGACAACACATTCAATAATTATTGATCAGCGTTAACTTGTCGTTGAGTTCCGAGCAAGGTATAAATCTTTCCATGTGCCTGTGGCACATCTATCCGTCTATTCTCTCTCTTAACGAGTGGGAAAATATC